CTGGGCAGCAAAGATGCTTTGCTTCAAGCACCTGCAGATCAGAGCAGGTCGTGCGCCACCATTAGCAGGTCGTGTTGTACAGTACCAGACTTTGTTTGCCCGACGATAGGTCATGTTCTGGTTGCCGCTGGCGCTATATTTCGACTGCTGATTAATACCGAACGTCCGAGGCAGTGTTAAGCCACCGAGAAACTTGGCCGCTACAACACCCTTTGTTGCGCTTTTGCTGTGTATTCTGCTGTTTGCTTCGGCTGCGTTCTTGCTACAGTTGGTTACGGTGATTACTGCGAGTGTGGCGCTTGCTGCCATTCAAATGTGCACAACGACACAGTTCACTGTGTGCTGCTGTGGGTAAAAAATAAGAGCATGGATACATGATCTATTTGAACGAAGTACCGTTACAATTACTCACTAGTACAGGGCTGGTGGTACACGTGTTTCGTTAGAGTACAGGTATTCGAATGTAGTGTTTTAAATTGCATGGTGATAGTTTGATCGGAGTGCAAGGCGTTATCATGATCTGGAAGGAGTGATCGAGCTTGAATATTGGGGGGGTATCACTGCGACTTGGAGCTTGTCAGGGTACCGGTTATCAAAGTTTGACTAGCGGTTGTGCTTTGACGCACACAGCCAAAAGGCAAAGAGGCAAAGAAAAGAGGAAGGGAACAGCCAAATCATACGGAACAGGGGCCAACAAAACAGATCCCAGATGACAAGTCCCACATGCAAGCACCGCCCCTGCTCACAGGCCAAACGACGGGACAAGACCAGCCAGGATGTCAAGCATTGTTGTCTGCAAAAAAAAAACAAAAAGAACCCGGAGGACGGGTATAAAAAACAATTCTGGATGATGATTCCCACATGCAAACACCGCCCCGCGTTCGAAAAGGCCGAACAACGGGAAACAACCAACCAGGATGCCAAAACAATAAAAAAGCCCAGATGACACCGCTACCTGCGTAGACCGAATAACGGGACAAAACCAACCGGGATGCAGACAAGATTACAACAACAAACCACTGTCAACTTATGGGGGTCTTCAGCACGTTATCCCTTTCAAAAATTAGTGCATGAGCAAAACACCGGCGCGTGTTATTTCAGCATTTGCAAACGAAAAACAAAAAAAATCTGTATAATTTTGGGTATAACCAGTGTGACTTCGTGCACTTCTCTGAGGCACAAATGTCAGAGCCGCCACTCGTGTGTCACACACCTCGTGTGTCACACAACTTCGTGGACACAACTCGCACGGCACATGCACCGAAAGGCACAAATACATCTTACCAAACGCCACAGATATTTGGGGCTTCAGGTCTCCGTGTGAGTAATACCCTGATTCGTGCACGTTGCCAGTGGGGACATTTCTGGATGATATTGGAGAAAACTAGGGGTACCGTTTCAAATCTCATTGGCTATAATGTCGAATTTTTTTAGGAAGTGCCTGCTTTTTCTCTGTACTGAACAAGTTGACAAAAGTGGACCAGAAGTTAATACCAGAAGACAAGAAAGAAAATACAAACATTGGTGAAGGAGAGCTCGAACTACGCTCATGAAATTTTGATAAACACTAGTTCCATGAATACCTCATTTAGGTAATCTCGAGATTGCCTCATTGATAGAATATTTAGAGTAAAATGATCTATCTGAGTTGGTGGTGGTTCACTCTGTGTCTATGGTGGTGCAGTAAGCACGCAGGGCTACGCTGTTGCGCTTAGCTCGGAAGGAAGATTTTGACGCGTCAGTGGGCGTTCATCCCTCAATCAGTGAGGAGTTTGCGCTTACGAGGGTGACAAAGCGCTCTGACGAAAACCCGTACAAGCCAGCATGTGTATAGAACGGAGCTGTAGCCACACATGGATCAGGCACAGTATCTAAGATTGAAGGTTACAGTTCGCAGTTCTGTTGCCATAACGACGAGGCGATGAAAGGCTGCAGCCACAAATGGATCAGGCACAGTATCTAAGATTGAAGGTTACAGTTCACAGTTCTGTTGCCATAACGAAGAGGCGCTGAAAGACGGCCAGCTTCCGGTTGTGAAGAGCAAGTCAAATCGCCATTCAACATCGCATAGCCGTGCCATGCATCTGAAAGCACCTGACAATTTCCAATCGGACGCAAAAGCTGCCAAGCAACGTGCGCACCTCAAAAACATCCCTTTTTGTGTGTTTCTCCCTTACAGGTCAGCAGAACCACATAGACGGCGCAAGAAGTAATCAGACGGCACACCAAGTCTTTGACCCATGTAATAAGATGACACGGCTCCTTGATCAACACAATTACGACAGCATGATGGTCAGGTCTGGCTAGAGGGTATGAACCTCGCCATAGCCATGACCAGGTTCATGCCTTTCGAGCATGACTATAGCACATTGGAGCTGTCACTTAGCTTTGCCGAACTCGGCCCTTCTTTTTCAAAAAGGTCTCCGAGACGGTGAGTTTCCCACCTCTGGTTCCAGCAGACGTATCTTTTTGCAATACTGGCATCTTCAGCTGTTCGCAGTGACTTGCAAGGTTTTACCACTACAAAATGTAGCAGAGCCAGCCGGTCAAAAAATACAGCACAGTTGCCACTCCTAGCCAGGAACATTATGCCAAGCTGACAACATTCACCCTGCCAATAGGCAATGTAGAGTACTCTCTCTCTCTCTCTCACACACACACACAAAAGGCGCTGCAACCAAGAGATGGCAATAACAGTTAGCATACTTCTTGTTGTTTGCTCCTGATTCGATTTAGGATCTCTCTCTCTCTCTCTCACACACACACACACACACAAAAGGCGCTGCAAGCAAGAGATGGCTATATAGCAGTTGAGCATTCTTCTTGTTGTTTGCTACTGATTTGATTTAGGATCTACTCGTGTAGGTGGTGGTGGTGCCAGTTCACAAAACACCCACACACGGACATTTTAGGATACAGTGAGCACGTAATAATGAGAGTAAACCTCACAATGCCGTCTCATCCCAGCAAATGATATCACCAATTGCTCAAGTTTTGCTGTTCAGACCTTCACCGCATCCAAGATTCTACTCCACTCCACTAAAATTGAAGTATGTTCATTGCAACTCTTTTCAAGGTTGTTTCCCAGATTCTGCTCCACTCCACTAAAATTGAAGTATGTTCATTGCAACTCTTCAAGGTTGTTTTTGCCCACGGGCAGCTCCTTCAAAATCATTCACGTTCATTCCGCGCCCATGTCCATCCAAGCCATTCACTATTTGGTCAGTACCTCCTTAGCGCCTTCCCATGAACAATACGCACCATAATAATGATTTTATCAAAGCTATATTTCCGGTCTAGGGCAGCCAATAAAAGGGGGCGTTCTGTTCCGGGAGAGCCGCCAAAGCAAATCAGCGTGTCGGACCTAACAGTCGGGAGGACTGCTGGCGCCAGGTGAATCCCACCCCGCAGTTATTCACATGGATTCAGAGCGGGATGTAGTGCTCACACGGCATATGTGCTACATTTATTCTGTCTGTCCAAGGGAATCCTGCACTTCCTCTTAAGCAGAGCCTCCTTCAATGCTCGCACGATGAAGATCTGAAGCAAGCCAGAAGATTACCAACCACACGAGGAAAGAAACCAAACGTAAAATGACCATAGTAGAAGGAGAAGAAAGGGCAGATCTGTCAAGAGCAGGAGGGTTTGGGGGGATGGGGTGTCCAGCGTACTACTCTCTAACGACTTCGAGCGCAACCCAGCTTGGACAAATGAAGAACCCAAGACTAGAACGTTGTGCTGTATAGCCGATGACATTATGTCCCTCCAAGGCTGCCGGTCTTCACCTCAAGTGTGTAACCTCCCTGCGCGTACTATGTATGATAGTATGAAAACCCATTGCGAGAGCAGGGGAATAGGGGAGTGCAGCAGGCTGTTCTCTATTTCCGCGGAGCGCCAACCAGTTTGGACATCAAAAGAATGCTTTTAAAAAAAACGCATCATCTTGGATCGAAGAAAGGGATGCATGCTGCCGATGAGATCACCGTGGAAAAACAACTCCGCCATTGCCAACATAACGAAAATGAGAACGAAGGAACGGAGGGTAGCGAAGGCAACTGATGGTGGAAATGGAGGGCAATGATAATGAGAACGAAGGAACGGAGGGTACCGAAGGCAACTGATGGTGGAAATGGGAACGAGAACAATGAAAACGAGAACGAAGGAACGGAGGAGGGTAGAAAATGCAACTGATGGTGGAAATGGGAACGAGAGAAGCTAATGATCAAGTGATACGCTGGTGGTGAGAAAGAAGATACTGGCAATAAAGGAGGGTCCTCCGCTCAGATACGTTAATAAAAATAATCACCAGCATAATAACCACAATGTACGGCGAGTAAATCATTCGACGACCGTTGGTAAGCTAGACTGTTCACTGCACTTCTTCAGCCTGCAGTACACAACAACAAAGATAAACCCTAGTTTATGTTCAGGAAGAGGATTCCTCAGGCAGAAGTTAAAAAGACAATGCCGAGGAACACAGTAGCAAAACGCACGATGAGAAGATAAGGACGAGGGATACCATTCGTTAAGACAACAAAGAGAGGAAGTGAAAACCATTAGAAAACGGAGTGGCGAAAGAAGAACGAACACATGAAATGTGAAGTAGGAGAACATCAAACCACAGAAGAAACCAAGCGAGCAGAAAAATAGAGAGTCAGCGGCAAAGAACACCCACCAACTTCTAGAAGGCCTTCGAAGAGGGATCACCGACGGAGAACACATACCAAGTCACAAGAACTTAATAGGACTTAACGAGATTCTGACATAATTCATCGTCCAGTCCCCGCTCCATAGCCAATTCACAACACCACGGCTGAAGGAGAATAGAATTACGAGGGAATAAAAGTACACCGAATGAGAATAGAATTACGAGGGAATAAAAGTATACCGCCGATTACAACAAGTCACATACGTGGAAGACAAGAAAAATACTTACTAGGCCAGGCACTTGTCACACCACCCACCAACTGTCACAAGATGGTTCAGTCCAACCACAAAAAGCTCAATGCCAACGCAATACCCTCGTCATCCGTATCGGATTCGACTTTCAAAACCCTCGTACAATCTCCCACTTCTGTGTCCTTCTACGCCCGACACGCCTTCTTTACCGTCCGGTCACTATGTCAATTCAAAGCTACCTCTGCTTCCTCCGCCAGCTCCGTCATTCACGAGCCTTCCAACACCGTCCCTGCTAACTGGCTTGTGTTGTCTCTAGCACACCCCCCCGACAGGACATACTTCTTCATTCGCTCCTTCCTGCCACGTATTATCTCAAGAGCGCGCCGACATTCCGCATGCCTTCCCTTCATACTCAACCGCCTCTTTTCCTCGTTCATCGTATTCATAATATTCTCATACAAGTAACCTCATACCACAACCACAACATAAAACTCCACCGCAACGAACGGATCAATCGGCATACGAGCGATAATAGAAAACCGACACCAAGGCCCAGAAATTTAGCTACAATCGAACAGTCGAAAAACAAGAGCACATGAATACCCTCCCATCTTCATTGCATAACGTCTGATTAGCACACAAATCCCCTCCCATCTTCATTGCATAGCGTCAGATTAGCAGAACATGAATCCCCTCCCATCTTCAAGCTGCTTACCTCACTCGAAATACACACGAAACCACCACGACACCAAGGCCCAGAAATTTAGCTACAATCGAACAGTCAAAACAAAAGCACATGAATACCCTCCCATCTCCATTGCATAACGTCTGATTACCACACGAATCCCCTCCCATCTTCATTGCATAGCGTCAGATTAGCAGAACATGAATCCCCTCACGCTTCAAGCTGCTTACCTCACTCGAAATACACACGAAACCACCACGACACCAAGGCCCAGAGACTTAGCTACAATCGAACAGTCGAAAAACAAGAGCACATGAATACCCTCCCATCTTCAATGCATAACGTCTGATTAGCACACGAATCCCCTCCCATCTTCATTGCAAACCGTCAGAGCAGAACATGAATCCCCTCGCATCTTCACGCTGCTTACCTCACTCGAAATACACAAGAAACCACCACGCATACCTGAGGCTGTACAAAGGGACGTCATGGTACGAGCACACTTGGAGAGAAGACAGATGTCTAAACAACATTGGTGGTGTATAAATACACCATTGAAAAGAGCCAACACACTCAAGCTGGCCAAATCTCAAGTGAGAGCATCTTAAGCACGCTCTCCCCGAATACGCCTCGCCAGCTGGATGTCCTTTGGCATAATGGTCACCCTTTTCGCATGGATGGCACACAGGTTGGTATCTTCAAAGAGACCAACCAGATAAGCTTCACTAGCCTCTTGAAGCGCGAGCACAGCCGAGCTCTGGAAACGGAGATCGGTCTTGAAGTCCTGCGCAATCTCCCTTACCAAACGCTGGAACGGCAACTTTCTGATCAACAACTCAGTCGACTTCTGGTACTTGCGAATCTCACGGAGTGCAACCGTTCCGGGGCGATACCTGTGCGGCTTCTTCACTCCACCAGTGGCAGGGGCCGACTTGCGTGCCGCCTTAGTGGCCAGCTGCTTCCGAGGGGCCTTGCCCCCAGTAGACTTCCTAGCCGTCTGCTTCGTGCGAGCCATTATCGACTATGGGGCAGGCAGGTGACGAGGAGAGAAAACTGCCAAGGAAGGAAAAACCGAAGACGAAAGACGATCTTAGCACAAGCGTTATCCCGCAAGCAAGCTTCCAATAGACAAATCACAGACTACTACACAGCCCACGGGCGGCTGTTATATATCGAGTGGTGAACCAAACCAACGTCTGCCCGCCGTCAGGCCGAGGATGGATTGAGCAGTTGGCGGGAGCGGCGGGAGGCGAAATTTTCACAAATCGTTCAAATGTTTCCACCCTCGGCCTGCTCCCGCGTGCGCGCGAGCGCGAGGGCAGGCGGACCGCAGGGCTTCAAGGACGTCCGCGCGATCCCGACAGGCGGCGAACAACAGACCTGTGAAGGGCGGCGGTGGCTTGCACGAAACTGGGGCTAGGTCCCACTTGCACAAATTAAGAGATACTGACCGTAGATATCAAGGATCAACGGCCGAAATCTCCTAATTTGCGCAAGTGGGACCTTGCCCCTGGTCAGCATCCCGTCCCGGCAAAGTTCGCGACTAGTCCAAAAGTAACAGAAGGGGGCGTCCGTCAGCTTACCCCGTCTGAAACTAAGTACCTCACATTCCACCAGCACCTGCCCACAACCTCAGAACGGGAACAGAATCCGGCAATAGGGAAAAAAGAGAGTTTGCACTCAACGGGTGCGAAAATCAACATCATCGATCTGTCGCCCTCGCCCTTTGGCCAATAGTATCGCAAGTACCGGATTCGGGTTTCCGGACGAGTGGGAAGTGCCATCCACAACGCCAAGGGATACCTTTTCTTTTCTCAGGGCACGCTCACACTGGGTACCAAAACCGTAAAACCCCCAAAAAATGTGCACATGGCTGGTCACACGCAATGGGTTCGACCCCAAACAACCCATTCGCGAACCCATTTGCCAGCGGCCTGCCGGCCCACGGGTGGGGAGAATTTGGGGTAACCTCCGGAGGTTACCGCAAAATCCTTATTCTTTTTTTAATTAATTTTCAAAAAAAATTGAAGGCAAATTGGAAACGAAGATTTGCATGGGGACGATCCCATCAGTCCCATGTTTTTATTGTCTACCGCGTGGGCGCGGGGGACGCAGCCCTAAGGTAACCAAATCAATGAGACTAAGAGCTAACACGAGAGA